GAGCTTTTCCAATTGATTACTGGAACGTACCGGTATTTAGAGGGTAATTTTCCTTTTAGTCTTCCAGTTGGCGCTGTGGGGGCCTTCAAGGTTTGTATGGGAAGTAAGGAGGACGGTTGAGACTTGTTTGAGGAAAAAGGAAAAAAGGTTTTTTCGCTGATTAATTAGTCAGGTTACTTCCTAATTGGGTATGATCTGCTGCCGTGTATGGACTGGCGTCCTGGATTCGAGTTGAGACTCAGGGTAGACTTCCAAGTATGCCGGCATTATACGGTATGATACGGTACTCACGCGGCCCGGTTCAGGCCGGACACTTTGTACAAGTATGGGGATAGCCAGCTCGGCTGTCCGACTTCAACTGGGCCACACAAGTGAGGTGGGGTGCGGTCTGGACCGGGATTTTCACCGGCTCTGTTACAAGTACAATACCTCACCGTACCGTACGGCACGTTTTCTCCAAATGACCGGGCTCATTCCGTTAAAAGGGAGTGTGTTGGCCGACTGAGGGGAAGAAGGATACGTTTTAATTACGGTTTTTGGCAAATTGGATATAGCCAGAGATATCACTTGTGATATCCATTCAGTTGTTTCTCTTTTCTTTTCTTTTCTTTTACCCCTGGAAGGAGATCGGCTGATTTCCCGATTGGGCGTAAACAATGATGAAATTGCCCCCGTCGGCCGTCAAGTGACAAGGGTTACGGTATTGGGTGGTACAGTGTGCGCGGCATCGACAGAGAGAGGGAGAGGGCGATAAAGGATCTCTCTGGTCTCCAGAATTTGCAGGAATTGAGTACTGGGAGGAATAACATCCGATGACTATTTCCTTTCCATCGCAATTGGCTTGGTTGGCCGCCTCATCCCCCCATCCAATTCCACATCTATCCATTGTATCCAACCTTCTCTGCCTTCGCACGCCCCTTCTCCTTCTCCTTCTTCCTCCCAGTCCTCCCTCCCGTCGATTGGGATATGATTGTACTGTAGTCCTCCTCCCTTATTATAGTCTATTCGAACCCGTCTCTTCCCCCACATCCTCCTCCTCCCCCTCTGTTCCGTTTTGTGGCTGCCAAACTTTCTTGGAGCCTCCACCGAATTCTCGGCAACTTTGTGCCCGAAAAAGACGTTACGGTACCGGTATTCCTCCCTCTCGTTGCTCACAGACAGGTTAGATAAGGTGTTAAAAGGAAGAGGAAAAAAAGAAAAAAAGAAGCAAAAGAAAAAGAAAAACAAGCCATCACCCAACCTTGCAAGGAGTAACGTTCGTTTTCAATTCCAAAGAGGCTGCGGAGAGAGAGGGATAGAGAAAGGTCCCGTGTAACAGGGTTCACCGCAACCCCGGGCTCGGTGGAAACTACCTACATCCCTTTCCTCCCCTTCCCTCCTTCTTTCCGCCCGCCCTCACCACCAACCTACATCACCACCACCGCCCAACCGACCCATTGTCTCCCACACACCCTCTCGATTCACCCTTTCAACAATGGACGAGATTGCCAACTCGTCGACCTTTACTCCACCCTCGGCTGTCGGCTCTGCGGAGCAGCCCTTCCAGACCCTGGTTGAAAGCTTCGAGACTATTGGGAGGACCCTCGAGGGACTCAGCGGGTGGCAGATTTTCTTCTCGATCATCATCCTGTCGATAACCTATGACCAATGTTTGCCCCCCCCTCCTTTTTTTTTTTTCTTTTTTCAAAATTCCGCCGCAATCCCGTTGCGTATATCAATTTTCTGACCCGCGTTCTTCGTTTGTTTGCGTAGGTCGTTACATTTGGAATAAGGGGTCCATTGTCGGGCCTTCTTTGAAGATCCCATTCATGGGTCCTTTTTTGGAGTCTGTTAATCCAAAGTTTTCGCAGTACCTTGCAAAGTGGAATAGCGGACCCCTCAGCTGCGTCTCCGTCTTTCACAAGTATGCCGTCTATTTGTCTTATTTGTTCTTTATTGTTTTCGCGATAGATGGCTTGTTCATGTGCCAATTGCTAATCATTACGTAGATTTGTTGTCATCGCTTCGACCAGGGATTTGGCTCGCAAGGTGTTTAATTCCCCGGGATATGTTAGCCCCTGCGTCGTAGATGTCGCGAAGAAGATCCTTCGTCCTGATAATTGGGTCTTCTTGGACGGCAGAGCGCACGTGGAGTATCGTAAAGGCCTCAATGGATTGTTCAGTCGTCAGGCCATAGGCATGTACCTCCCTGGACAGGAGGAGATTTACGATGCCTACTTCAAGAGGTGGTTGGGACTTTCCAAGGAGGGAAAACCCATCCCTTTCATGTCCGAGTTCCGCGATATCAATTGCGCCGTTTCCCTGAGAACCTTTGTTGGTCATTATATTAGTGACGAGGCTGTTAAGGAGATCTCTGAGAATTACTACAAGATCACCGCCGCCCTCGAATTGGTCAACTTCCCCATCATTCTCCCTTGGACCAAGACCTGGTACGGAAAGAAGTGCGCCGACTTTGTCCTCAACGAATTTGCTGCTTGCGCTGCAAAGTCTAGAATCGCCATGAAGGAAGGAAAGGAGCCCGGATGCACTATGGACTCGTGGATCAAGTCGATGATTGAGGCTAAAGAATCTGACGCGGCCAAGATCGCTGCTGCTAAGGGACTTCCTCAGATTCGTGAGTTTAGTGATATGGAAATTTCCATGACCATCTTCACCTTCCTTTTCGCATCCCAGGATGCCTCTTCCAGTGCTACCACATGGCAATTCCAGATTATGGCCGATAGACCCGATATTATGAAGAAGATTAGGGAGGAGCAACTACGCGTTAGGGATGGCGACCCACACAAGAAGCTTGATCCGGATCTGGTCGACAAAATGGTTTATACTCGCGCTGTCGTCAAAGAGCAACTCAGATATCGTCCGCCGGTCATCATGGTTCCCTACGAGGTCAAGAAGAGCTTCCAGATTACTCCCGAGTATAGGGTTCCCAAGGGCGCTATGGTCGTTCCCACCCTTTACCCTGCCCTTCACGATCCCGAGGTTTACAATGACCCCGACAGCTTCGTTCCCGAACGTTGGCTCGAAGGTGGAGAGGCGGAGGCAGCCAAGAAGAATTGGCTTGTCTTTGGAGCTGGTCCTCATGTTTGCCTTGGTCAGAATGTAGGTTTTCAAGTGCCAAGATTTTGGACTCGATTCTGTTGTTAACATTCGGTAGTATGCTATTATGAATTTCATGTCAATGATTGGCAAGGCATCTCTAATGATGGACTGGGAACATCATGCAACGCCAAAGTCTGAGGACATTAAAGTTTTCGCAACGATTTTTCCCGAGGTATGTTTTCCCATGCTGCTGCAGGAACAACATAGGACTAACCTTATTTTTAGGATGATTGTTTCTTGGTGTTCAAGGAGCGTGATCCATACGCTCCCGCGTAATTATTTATCTCTTTGCCCCCCCCCCCCAATTTCTCTGACTTTCACGCCTCCATTACAAAGTTTTCAAGGCTTTTTTCTTTTTTTGCCCTTGAACTATAAACCTTTCCCCTCGTCGCTTGCTGGCGGTTGCTGTATTTGACCTTTCTTCTAATACCATCTCTCGACTACCATTCTTTCACTTTTTTTTCGCACAATATTTTGTTCTCTTTCCCGTGGGTGCGTTTTGTCGCGCAGACAAGGTAAATGCGGGAATGGCGGGATTTTTTCTTCTTTCTACATTCAAGAGCGGTTCTATCTTTTAAAGCTTTTGTTTTTATATCTCTTGGGGGTTTTTTTCTTCTCTTTTTTCTTCCTTTTGCTCTGCCGAGTATGCTTCGGTAGGGATAATTCATAGACGCTGTAGGGGGAGTAATGCCATGCTGGGTGTGTGAGTGGCCGGCCGTTGGGTTTGTGAAAGGGGGGAAGGAAGGGAAGAGGGGGGAAACGGTGTTGTATCTGGCGTTGTTGCATGTTTGTAATATATTCTCGTCGCATGCTATCGTCGAATAAACGGACCATGTGCTGGGTACCGATAGTCCAAAACTTTCTCTTCTAGAAGAGGGGCGAAATAATATGTTGCGCCGGAGAGCATGGTTTCCGAGACAAAGGGGAAAAAAAAGTCGCTAGGCCTTATTGGGAGATTCAACTCCAACGTCCTAGCACGTGGCTCGATTGTTCGAGTTTTTGGGGTACTCGAGCAGTTGTGTAGGGGGTTATAAATGCGATGGCTTTTTTTTTTCACTTTCCGAGCTTGTAATCCGCTGCTCCCGTTCCTCTTTCCCATCCTATCTAGTGCCGTATCGTGGGAGCACCGTCAAGCAAGCCGGACTACCACTCACCCCTCAGGAACCGCCATTCGAGTGAGAGGTCGTGAGGAATTGAGAGCACTTTGTCGAAGCGTACGATTTCCGGAACTTGCAAAGACCCGTCGAGGCGGACGGATTCGTGAGTCCATCCGTTAAACTAGGGCGTTTCTCTACCGCTATTTCTCCTTCCACCCGGAGGTTTGGAAGATGTGGGAGTTCGCCGATGGTCGGCACGGAGCGTGGATTTGTGCGGCCGAGAGAGAAGAGAAAAAGGGTGAAAGGAGGGCGAGGTTGGCATCGGAAGGGACAATAAATGAGCGAACGACGAATGTGACGGGGAAGGGGCGTGCCTTGAGTTGGTTTGAATACTGCACTGTATAGTCTACGAGTATGGCTGTGGTTGTGAAGCTGTGGTGTGGACGGGGGAAGAGATGGGGGGGGGGGGGGTCAAATGGGTAGACTAACTCAGCCCAGAGTCTGACTGTGAATCGAGTGCTAAGTTTAAGGAAAAAAAAAATCCGGTATGGTGTGCTGGAGATGTTGGATGAAAGGAGACTAGTGCTGCAGATATACCGGTACACCGGGTAACGGCTAACTAAATTCAACAAGGGGCGGGTGATATTTGGTGATTGTCTGGAATGAGCCGGAGAGTTGTATTAGACAGTGACACCCACTCCGCCCCCCTCTAGTCCATTTCCCTTCCCTCGGCACTTGTATATGCGCTGCTCACTGTGGAACGTTCTATGATAGTAAACTATTGGGTGTGTTGGCGGGAGCGCGGGGGGGTTTCGTTCATCCATTCGGGAAGAGCGTTAATCGGGCAAAATACCCACGGCGTCGGGGGGGGAAACCCATATCGGCTAGAGGGAGAAGTAGTACTTGTACGATAGGAGGAGAGAAAAGAAAGCAAAAAAACAAACAAAAAAAACAAGATCAAAGAGCTGCTGTGTCAGGGGTTCCTTGTACTGTACTAGTACTAGTACTGTATCATTGGAGTGGTCGACGCTGCGGCCTTGGGGCTTACTATACCGTACAGTACAGTACATGCAGTATCATACCTCTCTACCCATCTTGTTGTCAATCCGGACGGTGTCCGAGAGAGAGATACTATAACTAACAGGATATAAGACGAGAGCCTGTCATCCATTCCCCTCCTTTTTCCTTTTTTTTTTTTTTTTTGTCGAGAAGGGTCAGAAAAAGGGAGTGATAATTATAATATAAATATGTGAGCACTGCTCACTGTACGGTGGAGCACAGTACTAGTACAGTATATAAATATTCCAGCGCAGTACTGTACAACGTTAGAAGAAAACCCCCCTACCCAACGCACAAATCCTCCGCGCTGGAGGACTTTACTTTACTTTATCAGACGGGTTCGTACGATATAGTACCCAAGAAGATGATTCTTCGGATTGTAACGGTGATAATAGTGCCAAAGCCGTTCTCCCGACTGTTGCGGCCGAGGGGGGGAGAGCTCTGGTTGTGGATTTTCGTCGTCTATAAATGCGTGAAGGGATTATGATATCGTCACGACGTTTGGCACAATACCGGTAAAATCGATCACGGTCTTTGGAGCGGTCACCATATCTCACTCGCAATCTTGACCTTTCGGAGCGTTGGAAATGGTATCATACGGTATTCTAGCTTCCCGAGACCGCACCCCTCAGCTTTTCTTTCTTTCTTTCTTCTCTTCTTCCCTTCCTATCTGAATCCAGAAGTTACCGCCATTCTTGACTTTATCGTTTTACTCGTGGTCAACGCGGCATTTGGATGAATGAGTTGTGCGGAGGTGGCCGCCAAGGGGTGTGTAGTTATATAACGTCAGCAGTTCTGGCTGACAGGCGATAGATCGATAGACCCCATATTCGCAACGCGGGGGGGGTTGTGGGTGATTCTGACGAGATGGGCAGCGGTGCATGTCATTTATTATCTGCGGGAGTTTTCTGGGAAACCCCTGGGGACTAGCGTGGTCCCGCGATACATGTGTCTTACCGGTATTGGGACTACCGCCGATATCGGAGCAAGGAGGGTGGGGAAAACACGGGAGATCTGCTGTTGCTGCCCACTTGGACGGTAGTGACGTGAGAACACGTGCTCAGGATATCATAATTTGGGCTCACCGCCAGGGCACAGCAGCAGACAGTGGCGAGAAGGGTTCCGACCAGCCTTACCGGTATCATGTCATATCATATCATACCGTAGACTATCATACCAACGCGAGGACAGGGAAAGGAAGATGAATCGAAGAGATGTAATAAAACCCCGGTGAAAAAGTGAAAAAAAATGAAAAAAAACAACAAAACATGAGAATAGAACCGGCAAGCGTGGGCGTTTATAGAGAGTATCGTTCTGGTGTCAGATACCGGTATCTCAGGACGAGTGAGGAAACGTGAACAATTATCGTACCTTCCCACAACCAAAAATAAAGAACAAACCCCCCAAAGCACGGGGACGGCCGACAGCCGGCTTACTGCTCCCGAACCAGGTGGGGGAAACGGGCCAATAGCTCTTAGAGTCCCCATCATCGTGTCACGCACTATAGCTCGCGCTATCATGTCGAGCTGTAAGCAGGCACAAGCAGGTTGGCGGGTAGGTACCGCAGCACAGAACGGGACAGAGCAACTGCCGGCGGGATCGTCCTAGCGATTTCTATACCGGGTGGAATCGTGATACCAACAACTTCCCCACACACCTAACACGGTATCACAGTGGTGCAATATGCTGCGCGCTGCGCTGTACCGTACAGCGGGCACATGTAAGGCGAGGAACAACGGATGAAACCCATCTGGCGTGTTGGACCCCGGGGGCGGTGGTGGGATTACCCGATTATCCGGGTTACGGTAGCCGTACAAGCACACTTTTCGGGTGCGGCGGGGGCTTGTTGCGACTGGGTGGATGGATTGATTGATCCAGTGCCGGTATCGTGCCCGATACCAAGTGACAGCGCGGTGCAGGGTGCTCGGGGTTGGGCACACGATGGTGGGCTGAAGACTGGGCTGTTCTGGAGGGAAAGTTTTGCTCGTATCATAGGTGAAGGGCGGTTCGCCACGCCCGCACCACAAAATATCACTCATCAAATACTCGCGGCTCGCCTCGCTAGCAGGGTATCCGTAATTTATTATGCTCACCTCGTCCATCTAGAATACACCAAACTGCCGCCCAGATAGTCACAGAGCAAAGGGAAACAGTAGTAGTAGCAGTGGGAGAAAAGGCGAAAGCCAACCAGACAAAAAAAACTAACTCCCGGGTATGATATATATAATACCTCGCCAGCAGCTCGGAGACAAGGACAAAACACCCCAAATAAAAGTAAACCTGATCGCAGGAAGGTAAAAAGGAAAGAAAGACAAGGAAATAGATTATCTACTGTATACCCTACCCTCGAAGGGGAAAAAAAAAGGCACCCTTCAATCTAGGAGACAGGTAGGCGGACGGGTACGGAGGTGGGTAGGACACAACCGTCCAAGCTACGCATTGTTAGCTATTGAAAATAATAATACATCCCCCCTCCGCTTTCCTCCCCCACACTGCTCTGATTATAATGACTCGCGATAGGAGGCACGAACGTTATAACTTCAAACTCCTTGTACTTTTGCAAGTAGTTCATCCTACGTCTGTAAGCTCTAAGGAGTAGTTCCGGGTCCATTCTATGGCTTAGGGAACGCGCGCCGACAAGGCTCTTCATAGGCGCGGAGGGTGTGAAGAAGGGGTCAAAGACTAGGAGGTTTTTGGAACCGTCCTTATTGGTCTCGCACCCGACTATTGTCATGGAGTGGCCACTGTGTTGAAAGTATATTGGGGGTTTCTGGGTGCGGTAAACTTTCACTGGGGCGGCATCGGGGAGGATGCCGCCATCAGAGAAGTAGTTTTCGACCCAGTCAAGGAGTTTTTCCTGGGTCTTGAGGCCTTCAGATCTGGTGAAGCTATGGGGACGACAGGGGATATTAAGGTTGACAAACATTGTTTGAGCCTGTGTTCCCGGCTTGTTAGTTGACGCCTCACACCAAACGCAGGTGGCGGTACCTCTGAAGTCCCAATATACTTCCTAGTCCCCTTGATACCCCCAGTCTCCAATCTAGCGCTGGGATTTATTCCCTTATCCCATCCCTCTTCAATCCAGTCCTGAAGCCTCAGGATAGTCGGGATTCTACCCTCAAACGGATGAGACCCCCTGGGGTATGCATTCTGAATGTAGCTAACGATCATTTGAATATTTCTGTACCCACAGAAGCCACCCTCACCCCTAATCTGTTTTCCAACATGTTTGGTGCCCGCATGGCAAACCCACGCCCTCGCAACATGAGGATCATGTTCACAGAGGAGGGCAATCACAGGAATGAGATCGGGAGTCTCATTGGACACCGTGACAAACTTAATCAAATGCCCACTAGTAGAATCCAATCTAGTTTCCTTGGTCAGTTTACCACCCTGCTCGAGTTCCTTGCGGAGCCAAGGCGGCATTTGCTCCTCGTGAGCGTAGGGCCCCAGATCACTCTTCTATATATTTTTTTTCACCAGAACAGTTAGTTATACTCCCCTCATCACAGACCACATAGGAAATCCAAAGGCCCCATCACTTACTCCTAACCGCTTGACTGGAGTAAGAATATGATTAGAGGATACCGTTTGCTGCCCAGGCAGATTTTGCCTATCAACAGGCCTGACCATGCTTCTCTCCCCCGGCCTCCGAAATTCCCTAGTCCTCTCCCTGTCCCTCTCCCTTTCCAACTCCCTGTCCCTCTCCCTCTCCCTCTCCTTCTCCTTCTCCCTCTGCCTCCACGGGTCCTTAACCGGTAGACCAAACACCAACTTATGAGACCTCTTAGGTGACTTCACATGGTTCGATGTTTTCGAGGGTATCAACGAGGAGGAAGAGCCCTGGTTCTGAGCCAAAGAAAGCTTATAACCGTTCTTATCCCTCTCCCTCGAAGCAATCAACGTCTTGTTCTCCCTCCTCTCCCTCCTGCCCCCCTCGGTACCGCCCTCCGAGCGCCCGTGCCCATACCTACTCTTGCCCTTCTCCGACAAAACCATATCCTGACTTCCGCTGTCATCCCCGGACACGGGTGTCTGACTGCGTACGTCTTCCATGGAAATTTGCTCGGCGGCGTGAAAGTCCAAGTGTGTCTGCAGGTCCATCAGAAGAACATTCTCCTCGCATCCGTCCTCCGTGCAGAGGATGTACATAGTCTCCGCATCGTCTTCCAGGGGAATATCAAAGTCTATGCCGACTAGATCCTCACTGCTTATATCCCTATTGCCGTGCTCGTCCTTTATCATAAATGGTGAATCGTCCGTGTGTATTGCCTCGATATGCATGAGTATGGTGTATTCCGCACCTGACTTGAATCGGCACCACGGGCATTCGTAGACCTCTGCTGTGCCAGCCATCGCGACCGCGTGTATGGCCGTGTAAGCGTAACCAGTGCGGGTTTTTGTTATTGCTATCGTGTTCTCTTCTTCTTCTCCTTTTCCAGTCAGAGATGGGGTGGTTGCTCGGGACGTGGTGTGGGTGAAGGATTTCAAGGATTATATACTCCCTTTTGCCCAGCGAGAAGGGGTTATAAGGTAAGGATAGGGGCGGTAAGATTAATGGAGGCTGCCGTTTGCACTGCAAGCGGCCAGCTGCCTGCAATGCGGAGGATTAAAGTAGATAATGCAGATGAACGGAAGAAGAAGCGAGAAGGAAATGAGCTGGCAGATCGGATACAAGTAAGAGGAAGGAAGGAAGGAAGGAAGGGGGGAGGGAGGGAAGAGGGAGTTAGAAAGTCGAGAAAGTTGAGGCTGACAGTGACGAGGAATTGGAGAGAAAGCCAGGGAGAAATCCTTTTCCCTCTATCATGGGCTTTACCAACTCCACAAGCCAATCTAATCTTATCCACTGGCAAGATCCCTCATAGCAGAGTGAAGCGTGATGATTCGGTGCTCGAGTGGTTAGACTATTATTTCTTCTCCTCCCCCCTGGCTCGCTCGCCAATGTTTCTTCTCCACGCTGCGGATCTCATGCCAACGAGAGAAAAAAAATGGTGCCGCCACTGATCCTTCACCCCGCAGACGGACAACCTCTTTTCTTCTTTTCTTCTTTTACTTGGGTCATGCGCCTCCTCCTCCCTGTGGTTTGCCTGTTCAACTTGACCTTTGAGCCATTTTTGGTTTATTATATCTTACAACATCCACATCCATCTCCCCCGTTACCGTAATTCATGCTACATCGCGCCATGTAGGGTTGGAAGAAAAGAAAAGAAGATGATAAAAAATAGAGGGATAGAGGAGAGGAAGGAAAAGAAAAAGATAAACGCTAGAGCTGGAGAAATATGAAATAGCCTGTGTATTCTTCTTCCCTCTCCTCCCTTCCCTTCGAATAAACTCCCAAGAGACACGAAATTCGGAGAGACCACCGGTAGACATTTACAAATATTTCTTCGGAGAACTCGCTCGTCTACGCTTGTAAACAATATAGGCAACCACTAATGCCAGTTGGAATACGATAAGGAGGGTAACCCCGAACCCAACCTTCGGGGTGTTTGTGGTTAATGCTAGGGTAACCCGTGTTACTCTCAACCCTGGAAACAAAAAAAAAATCACATGAGAGCGTGTGCTTACCTTGGGTGACCTTGTTTGGCACAGTGTAAAGCAGGTTAGAATGGTGATTCTCCAAAGTCCTGTGCAGCGCCTCAAAGTGCTGTGTGTAATCCTTCGAAGTAATGGCATTTCCAATCTGCACAACTAGTTCCTCGACAGCCTTCATCTTCGTCTCCATACCGTCAATCTGCGAGCGAGGGATTATAGCCCCCCTGAACTCTGTACGGTACTCGTCCTGCTTGTGGTCAAGTGAATTTACTTTATCGTAGAGTATCGCAATTTGCGATTGAATAGCTGTCAAATGATGTGTCTACACCAAAAATTAACCATGCTTCCCTTGGTCAGAAAGTAGGCGGATAAAGCGCATACAATGCCCTGGATACGGTTGTGAACATCCACAAATTGGTCGTGCTCGTTCTTGTACTTCTCCGGTGACTCATCCCCGTACTCGGGAGTGTACATTGTATAATCCTGTTTGTGAGGAGTGCGACCATGCTCTTGCTCTTGCTCTCGATGCTGGTTCTGGTCAAGGTGTTGCTGTGGTTGGCCCCCGTGGTGGCTATCTTTCGGTTGCGAGAGATCGATCCGCTCGGGAGAACTGAGAAGTATTGAAAACAGCTCGTAACTGTCCGGGGTCTCCGAAGTGGCTGCAGAAATACCGTAGTGATACCCGGTAGGAAGACGCACCTAGAAAATGTGTTAGCTTTAGGTTGCACCCTTGTCGCAACTTGTATTTGAACGCACACGAGAAGTTTCGAAGCAGAGCGATCCATCAGCTTCAACCTTAAAGCTTTTGGGACTGTGGGTAACCCTGAGGGTAGTAAAGGTCCCCCGATTCCTATAGTTGATCTCGCAATGCCCGAAGGAAAGAGAAGGCACATCGTGGTGTATAGAGTAATCGGTCGATCCGTCATTTAAATAAGCTCTAATAGTGCCGTACTATTTTCCTCCACGGACGCCGTTAGCCCGAAAGTGCTCTCCGCGTTCGTCATAGATGAATCATACCCCGCCATACGAGTCCACGACGAGCGCCAGACCGTCCCAAGGTTTGGATGTATAGACAGATTCCATTCCCGCCTTCCCATTCCCGCCCTCAGCCGTATACCAAAGATGGAAGCTCCCTCCAGGCCTCTCTCCTCCACTCGTCCGAAAACTAACGTCGAGTATCCACTCGTGGTATGAGTTTGTCTTCGTAGTCCATAACCCGACCCTCTGATTCCCCGGCGAGGGTGGGGTAAGCACAAGTCTATCAGATAGTATCTGCGGACTCCCATGAATAGTATAACCAGGGATGGTCTGTCGATCTTCTGAGAACCTATCGCGCACAAGAAGGCATGCGTGAGTTTAATCCCAGAATGCGCCAACCCCGCAAAACCTCAGCATGGGGAGAAGTGGCTCACGGATGGACGAGACCGATGGAAAAATCTGGATCGTAAACTCCGTGGTCTTGTGCGATGGAAAAAGTGGGTAGCAAGATACTCAGAAACACAGAAATCACGCTCAAGCTCTTCAAGAGCTTAAGCGGTCTCGGGATATAGCTACTCATTGCGCATGAATGGACTCAACACTGCACGAGGCGGGGCCTGTGGTGTTATTGCAATGAAACTGAAAGGGGGGTGGAAAGTAGGAGAAAAGCGGGGAGGGGGATGTCACGGCACTGGAAGGGGCGGATTTGCGGAAAAGTGGGGTGTATAAAATATTCCAGGTTCCTGACAAGCAACAAGGTTTACCAGTATTGCTATGTGGCCTCTCAAGAGTTTAGTCCGGTGAATCTGGGGAGAGAATAACAATAGCCGTGTTGGCTAGGATAGTTACAAAAGTTACCCGGATATTCTTCCCAATTCCCCGCCCCTAACTTAGACTACGGGTGCCGCACCTCTAAATTAAAGCTTCCACTGATACTCGAGTACCGCTAGACACCAGTGCTAGTATCTACTGTTAATACAGTACCTTATGGTATGGCCATGCTGGGATTCCAACAGGGAAAAGGCATCAGGCATACTGTAGTCTAACCCCTCAACCTCTCCCTGCAACCAACATTGAGTCAGGGCCTGCGGGAACAGCAGACTACGGCAAAGAATCGCCGCCCGAAGCTACCATTGTTGGCCCCCCAATATCGGTAGCTCTACCAGGCGATGGCTCGAGATAAGCCCCCCGAGCAGCCTCGCCAAGGCTTCCCCACAAAGTAACTGCGGGTACAGTACTGTACAAGTAGGATCCTGATGGATCTACCTATGAATCGGGCCGGGTCCGGTATCGGCGGCACCCCTTCAAGGGAGGAAGGCAAGGGAAGGCATGCAGGGGTATAGCGCAGATTGCTGCAGCACAGCCTTTTTGATTCTGGCGCCTTTGCAATTCTGACTGCGGCGCTATACACTGTAGAACATTTCTCATAGCGCATCACTCGGGAAATGACACGGCCTGGCACCGTGCCGCTATGGAAGAACCGGCTTACCAATTCATACGTCGTGGGGGTTTTCGGGTTGAGCTTTGGGCCTCTATCTCTTGCCTAAACCTACGGCGCATGTAACTTAATATGATGTCTTGGTGGGATGTATGATGCAGTGACTCGAGCGGTGCTATGGGAGCGGGCGCGCCCAATTGGCTGGCCAAACACCAACTCCTGACTTGTGATGTAAGGGCCTTGGTCTCCCTGGTTCTTGGGATATCCTCATCCGACGAATTGCACTAATTGGTACGGTAGCCGGCTTCCCAGAGATAACTCGGCCTTCGGATATGGTACCATCATCACTAGGCGAGTACTACGAAGTGCATCGCGTATAGGAGAAATCACGACCGATCTGTGGAGATTCTAGAAAAGTGTACTCAAAGGTTATTATTTCCAAATCCAGGTGGGCTATCACTCCTGAGCTGTGTCAGCGAGGCGGTGCAGACAAAAAGCCACCCGGGAAAGAGAAGAGAGGCTAGCTAAAGATTTTACAGAAAAGGGATTTGGGAAGTAGGAAAGCAAATAGTTCATGGCTCTTAGCTGCGGTACCCAAGTCATCCATCTGTGGAGTAAGAATAGTTAATGTAGACATTTCCCCATCATTTCCTCATTGACGAAAGATTTAAGGACAAGGAAACCATTACCACATGAAAAATAGAGATTGGTCCCCCTACTCGGCGATTTCACCTTCTTCGCTCTCCTCATCCCTATCAACCTGCACCTTATCCGCTAGTTTGGCGAGTTGTTTAACACGTGGGGGAGACCGGGCATCCCAGTTACTAGGAGTTCTATCCCTCGAGTTCCTCTCCCTTGGGGTTCTATCTCGTGGAGTACGCTCACGCCTAGGTCTCTACACCGCCGGGCCCGTGTTAGCTCCGGAGCAGTTACTAAACTTTACGGATTCCATAACAAACCTTCGAATCGCGCCTACCATCTTCACTCTCTTCAGCTGGGCTTAGCCCCCTGGGCCTCCGCCTGGCGCGGTACTCATCATCGCCCCTGGTCCTATACAGTCTTTCTCTCTCTTCCTCCCTCTCTCTGCGCTCACGATCATAGACACTTTCCTGCCTGTCACGCCCGTGCCTGCTCTCCGCTCGACCCCCCCTTTCAGAACGGTGATGGGAATTGCTCCTACCAGTGCTTCCTCTATGTTGGTATTGTCTCTCCCGTTCGCCGGCGGCCCTTCTTCTCTCGGCCTCGTAAGAATCTACCTCTGGGGAGCGGCTTAGCGGGTGAGGATCGTGATGATGCCGAGATGGCGCTGCAGGCTTATGGTATGACCTGCTCGAGTCATGGCCGTTACGCAATTCAGGTTCACCGCGATAAGACCTTGTATCCCTGTCTTTATCACGCACTCTTTCCCCACGATCCTTTCTGTCACGCTCCTTTTCCCTATCATCATGTTTCTCCTTCAACCGGCGGATATACTTATCAAATGCCGCACGGCGCAAGTCTTCTGACTCAAGAGCCTGAAATTCCTCTAATTTTTGAATTCGCGGCCGCACATGCTCCCATGCATCCGAGATTTCGACTGCCGGTTCAAGATGTTTAATCGCCGAGCGGAGTGCATCTGTGCGGCGGCGCTGCTGACGTTCATGTTGGTGGCGGTCGTCTTCCAATCGTTTGACGATCTTCTCGCGGAGCTATTTAACGTTAATTAAGTCCGCTAAACCAAGAAATTGACAAGACATACCCTATCGAATAGAGCCGAAATTGTTTCACGATCATACTGTGAGGTACGAGAGTCAGACTGAAGCAAATTTGAAAATTCTTCAAGAGTAGTTTGTTCCCTGATTTCAAATCGCTTTTCCTATGCCTATTGTTAGCAACAATCACGGTTGGGGTTGGGACAAGGAGAATAGCTTACATCCAATATATCCATCACCAGGTTCCTCTTCACCCGAAGCTCTCGTTCAATTTCTTCCATTATATCCCAAAAGAGGTCAAGCGGGGTAGATCCTGGCTGGCCAAGCATGTTAAGGTATCTCTCATCATCTTTGATGGATGGGTGAATGTGTTTCCATTTGGTTCCCACACAGATTTCACCTTTAGATCGCAGCTGAGCCAATAATGCCTGTATTGAGAGGATACGTTAGTAAAATCGCCGCAGCTTTGCCAGCAAGATAATCTCGGCGACTTACAGAGAATGCTTCCCGATTCTTCCTCTCTTTCCGCATCTTTAGGTTCTTCATTTTTTGCCTTTTATCATTGAAGGCTCGTTCGAGTACTTTTATGTGATTCTCAAACGCGTTCAACACGTCAAGCTTGGACAGTGCCTGGAACTTTGGTTCAGACTGAAAACGTTCATTCTGGTGGATAATCTCCCGGGCTTCTGACCAACGTGTGTATGGCTCTAGATCAAGCGATTTGAGCAGCCCGACCAACTCCTCCGAGGCTTCCTTTCTATGCTGGTGATCGCGCTCTTGCTCGGTCTTGCGAAGTTCGATAATATATTCGTCAAACAACTGACGGCGCTCTGTCTCGTCAGAAGAGGAGCGGAAAATAGTTTCACCTTCAATCATTGGACGGGCAGTCCTACATAAAGTTAGAGGGAACAAGTCGCTAAAGGGGAAATGGGTATAATTGTACTAACCTCCATCTAGTGTAATATTTAATCTCCGGATGGCTCTTAAGCATTACCGCGAAATCCTGTCTCAACTTTGTAATCCTGTCCTTGGCCTTCTCATGTTCTTGCTGCTTTAATTCAACGATATACTTCTCAAAGACGGCCTTCCTATCCTTTGGGTCCTTTAGAGCCCGGTATTGGGGCTCCTTAATGATCGAACGCATTGTCTGCTCCCACGTCCAATCAGGGGCGACACCACTTCGACGCAGGAGCTTTACGAAAGCGGCCTCCGCCTCATCATGGGTGGAATATTGAGGGCCTTCTTTTTCATTGCCGAGCGAGGACGGTAGGGCCATGGACCTGGCGACATTATCACCACCCAAACCTGAATCTGGACAATATTGGCCTTGGATTGCAACCTGACGTTCATTATTTTCGTAACCGTGATTAAAGTGTTGGGTACCCCCAGCGACAAATGTTTGCCTATTGGCTTATTGTTAGCTATTCCATCCAGGTAGATAGCACTTAGGTTGACCTACGGCGTATGTGAAAGCGCTTGCGACTGAGAGCTCCTCTCGAGTGCCGCTTTGTAGGCTTCAGGCATTTCCCAGGTTGTTTGTCTCGTTTCGGCATGATACCTAAATAGAAAAATAGCAAGCGTCAGCGACCTCTTCTCACCACCGGAAAAAGTGCGAGCGCAGCAAAACAAACCAGTAAGGTCGGCCATCCTCGGTCTTGTGTTGTTTCCATGGTGAGTCTTGAAGGGCCCTCTATTGTGATTGTCAGTACTATTGTTATGCGAACATGCCTTCCCTGTAATCCCGAGAAAACGTATCGTACCTCAGCTGGGGTCATGAGCTCAACAGGTTTTGTCCACTGCGTAGCTTTTGTCTGAACATTGTAATAATAGACACGACCCTCAGGATTTTTTGCCTCCTGCCACAGGGCGGACATGATGAATCAGAGATGCTAAAGGTTGACAAAAAAAAAACACGACGCGTATAGGTTGATGAGGAAGTCTACGAGACGGCCGGTGGGGGTGAAAAGGTAGGAGAAGGGATGTGCGGTGGTGGTGGTGATGGTGGTGGTGGGCGGTGGTGGGCGTCTTGTTGCCTCAAGAAGCAGCCAATGTTTTTCGCTTCCTTCAGCACGGAAGGAAAAAAAAAAAAAGGGTGAGAATCAGAAGTGCGCCTGCGAGGGAAGGATCGGCTCCTGATTGGTCACCCTTTGGGTCACAAATTTTATGCTTGGGTCAAACTCACGTGCCTAGAATTTCTATGCCTCTGGATTAGTCCTTGTACCTACCGCAACGTGCTCGTGCCTCTCCTTCTCCGAGACACAGAGTGCGGAGCTGGTCTAACAAAAGAGTCGAGAATTAACTAAATTACGCTTCTACCGGGTATCCGCACAAAACTCGACTCGCGGCGCTACTCTATTACAATCGTACCTACTCCGAGAAGCCTATAGTCTGCATTTCAGCAACATATCCGGTTCCGGCCAACTTCAGGCCTCTTTCCTCCGTCACCCCTCTAAACAATGCCTGCAGCAGCCCCTCGAAAGAAAACACATGCTCGTACAAACACCGTTGAGCTTCAGGAATCGGCTCGTCTAGAGCTCGTCGTTCCTCAAACATCAGATCTAGATATCTCTTTGGCAATAGATGAGGCACTCGGGCGGGACAAACAGCAAATCTCTACTGCTGATGGTGGGATTTCGGCCGTTTCTGCAATCGAGCAGCGCAGATCCCTCTTCTACGGTTTGGTGCTCTCCTCCCATGTAATTGAGGAGGGGATTATTTGAGAACTGAAATGCGGTTTTTTTTGTTGTAGATGAAACCTTGCCGGTATTCGTGGTTCTTCAGCTTCTAATCCCCCTAGAAGATAGTGTCTACGAATCCTACCTCTCCCGTCTCGCTGTTTCTCTCGAAGTAGCCGCTGTAGATGGTCAGCGGCAACAGCAGCAACAGCGGCAGCCACAGTATGGGGGAAGGCCTGTGGAGATGGTCCATCTGTTGTTTCAAACCGTGGTGGATGAAAACGAGACAAAGCGGATCATCATAGATAACGGCGCACAGAGACTAGCGATATGGAAGATTGATGTGCCCCTGGGACATCCCCGGGCCCGTCTCAACAACCCAACGGTTGTTTTGACCGCTTCGGCTACCATACGTCCAGCTGAGCTTCACAAACCTGTTGTCGAAGATGAGTATCTGTCGACCCGACAGCCTGTTGGAATTAATCTACTCGAGTCTTTTACCGAAGATCCACATCTATCCGCTGTTGCTCCCCGGCTTTCGGCTTCGAGGGTTTCCCGGGTGATACCCGTGACCCAGACACCACAGCAAGCTCTCCGCCCTTTCGGCTATGCTGCGAAGCGCAATTTCAATATCTACCCCGCCATTAATATCCGATTGCGTTACTCCCGTATATTTTCCGGGACAAAGCAGACTATCATTGCTTCTCTGGATTTGGAAGTGACGCACTTCAGTGAATGCGATGTAACTATTGAGAGCGTTAAAATTGCACTGTCTGGCGGGAAAGCCGATCCCCTGACAGATTCGCCATCTCCTTTGCCTATAGTGTGTCGACCACGGGATGATATAACCTTCTTATTTGTCCTAACACCGACCGATCTGCTCCCCACATCTGGCTCGCCAGCCCCCGCATCATCTAATTCACCGGTACGTCCTATTTCCGTCGCCCTACAAGCGACTGCCCACCTCTCGTCAGTATGCCATCCTAAGATATTTACAAATTGGACCACCACTGTGGACTTTTCGCCACCACAAAACCCCGCCTTCCAGCCCTCGCCAGGTATCCAGCGTGCCCATCGACCACCTTCCTTGGGAAGCATCATCCATGGTGCAACCGTTTCATCATCGTCCGGGATCCGCCCGGTCTATCAACCCGCCGCCCCATCCCCTGCTCTAACTTTCACGCCCCCAAACCATTCCACCCCCTCTTTTGTAGCGAACCCGGCACCCGAGAGCACTCCAGGCCTGACCATAACATTCTCTGGCCCATCGAGAGTATATGTCGGTGAAGTCTTCGTTTGGACCGTCTTTGTTGTGAACCGCTCCCAGCGAACCCGAAAACTCGCGTTAATAGTGCCACCGAAACGCCGGAAGGCCGGGGAAGGGAAGTCACTTCCTCCGAGACCTGCCGGAGACGAAGATGCAACAGAGGCGGTTCTGGATGAGGCAGTGGTGTACCAGACGCACCGAGCACAGTACTTGGAGCCGGCGGAATTGGTGCCTCTAGTTAATGATGTTAGGGTTGGGTGAGTTGTCCTGCTCCCTTGATGGGACTGTGCTTGGATACTAAAATCCTACTAGACCATTATTACCCTCCGCGTGCCACACGGCGGAACTTCGCTTCATCGCGCTGGCGACAGGTGTGTTGAATATAGAGGGCGTAAGGGTTTTGGACATCATCACGAACGAAACGACGGACTGTAGGGAGTTGCCGAGTATTGTATCTGTTGGCCGGAGATAAAATAGATACCTGGGAAGATACGATAGAAGGAATAGAAGGGAAAGGGATGACGGAACTAACAATTCCCGTTTCCTGGTGGGGGCTTTACGTTGTAGAATACTAGTAGCGTTTTCGAGATGGGTTATTTCATCTTTAGTATGATATCATGTCTATAGAATTGCCTGATGGCGGTCATTGGGTAAGCAGGAGGGGGCTTGATGACGAGTGATATGCTATGAACACGGGTGGGGTTTTTTGTTGTATGATATTAGATTTTGTGGGGCGGATTTTAAGACATGCTGTGCTTCAAAGTCCGTCCAAGGATTTCTGAGAGTCTGCAGTTCAAAGGAAATCTCTCAATCCAAGGCTCAAAAAAAACGATCATTTCAAGCCTGCAACAACTAAAGTTAATTAACCTGTCCACCTACAGTACTCGTACATAGTGTCTTGCTACCCGACAACCCTATCGCAACTTGGCATCGCATGCTACTCATCTACCGACATCACGACTCTTGGCAGCGGAACCACCTCGTTGCGAGCAGGAGCACCCCGCCAAACACCCGCACACCAAACCAAACCAAGCCAAACCAACCAATTCTTCTTCCACCACCCCATAATACCAGCACCAAAACAACAATGGTACCCCCTTCTCCCCCTTCCTAGAAAAAAAAAAGTCAAAGCTAACACCCTCAGGGCGGCGGCGGCAAGATCCCGTACCTCCCCTTCACCCCCCCCCCCCACCATACACCCCAACTACATACTAACTTCCATCACACAAAGCTACCCGAAACACGTCTGGTCCCCTAGCGGTGGCTGGTACTCTCAACCAAAGAACTGGAAGACCAATACCGCGATCATGGCCGCGGTGATCGCGGGCATTGTGGCGGTTGCTTGGAAGACGAGCGCGGAGCGGGAGTACAGGTATCGCATGCCGGATCGTGGACGGTTTTTTCCGAGTCGTAGTATGTTCTCCTTCTCCCGATTCAAGACGGATGGATGGATGGGGGTTAATGGGATTGGTGATGGTACCGGTGGGGGAGATAGATTGGTCGAAACAGATTCGGGACTTTGAGGCTGGGAGGGAATAGCAGTGGTGGTAATGATAGTAGGGGATTGTGGTATATGGGTTAGATCAGGTCAAGTGGGAATGGTCGCTCTTTCCTTTCTTACGAACGAGGGGTGGTTGGCTTAAGGCTTAGCTTGATCTCGAGCTATAATGAACGAGGGTGTTTATGTCATGTACTCGAGTACAAAGTGGAGAGAAGGGAGGATGAGCTACGGTGACAGGATAAGAAGAAGGACGGACAAGACAATGACTAGAATTATTCTTTGGTGAAACCAAGACCGAATTGAACCGAACAAGTAACACCAAAAACGCAATGCAGTATATTATCCCCCTCAACACCCACCCGCCCACACACACACCGACCGACCCCCTTCCAATTTCGTGAAACCGTTATATAGAGAGTGGAAATGTTTTTGTTTTTGTTTTATTTTATGCCCCTTTCCCAACACCTGAGGTTAAGATGAGAGCGGAGAGGAATTGCACGACGTAACTGTAGAAGAATAAGAACCATGTCCTTCTCTTTTTTCTTTGGATTCTAGGGACGGTAGAGGAGGAGGTGTATACTCCCCTGCCTTCCTGTGGATTATTTTCTGATGGGAGGAGGACGTGTTTCAAGCTTCGGAGCTGCGAGATTATTAGTGGCATTGACTTAGGTAGATTGGGGCATGAGCGTGTTCCATACCAAAAAGAAAGCGTTCCCCGCGAAAAAGTACAGAAACACGGACCAGCCAAGAAACCCACTCTGCCCCAGCACCTCTCCGATCAGGATCGTCATAATGGCGCCAAAGAATTTATACCCCGAGTACCCCAATAGATCCAGCAGCTGGCCTTCTCCATTCCCATTACTAATGCTCAGCAAGTAGACCCCCAGCTTCATGATTGCGATCTCGAACAACATGATGACAAAGCTGGTAGAAGCCGTCTGGGCGAGCTGCTTGGGGTGAAAATTCCCCGAAATCCCCGAGATAAAGGAGTTTAGGAGGATATATGTGACAATGGACATGACAGGGATGTATAGATCCGGAGAGTTGATGTCCTCGCGCGGGGGCAGGTAGTAGTACTCCAGCGGGCCACCGGGAGTGGTGGATGACCGGGTGGAAGAGACGCGGAACCACGGAGTATGCCGGTACGGGAACAGCAGCAACCGCAGCTTCTGCAAAACGTATGTATTCGTTACGGCAAAGTATGGCCGCAGCGCGGATAAGTAGCGGTTGATCTGGCATCCATGTCAGTCTCCTTCTTGTTCCTTTCCCTTCCCTTTCTTGCCGCTAAGGAGTTGGATGGAGGGAGCTGGGCGAGGTTACGTTTTTCTCGGCATAGTCCGTTCCACCCGACATTGCGGCCTTCGCAACCGACAGGCCCATCTGTGCTGTTGGGTCCGCCAGGAAGCCGCTAGGCCCGCCGCCGCCGCCCCATGAAGGGTACGCTGCGGAGTTTGGGTGGAGGCTTGCACCGTTGGAGTAGCTTGTAGGAGCGTCGTAGGGGGATGAGTAGTAAGAGTTCGACGACGAGGGCGGCGGTGGTGGTGAGTGCATGACCGGAACCGTCACGGGCTTTTGAGGGACCGGATGGTGGAGCGGGGGGGTCTTCGCTGGGTAGATTGAGCGCTGCATTTTGGCGCCGATGTCGTATCTACGCCCGATGCTGTCGAGGAGAAGGCGGTGGTATTCGCGGACAAGGGATGACAAGAACAAAGGTCCGCCTAAAGGGTGCTTGTGATACAAAGGGGGTGTTTCTTGAAGGCTGAAGAGGAACGGCAATACCGTATCAATTAATGATAGAGTTGTTGGTGACGGCGGGGTCTGGCGATCGATGCTATAGTATTAGAGCAGGATAGTGGGGAGGAAAAACGAGTGAATGGAGATAAGAAAACCTGGCCGCCCTTGCGATCTCTTTCCCTCCTTTCCAGGGGAAGCTCAACAATAAAATTACAAGTGGTTCGTGTGCCGTGTCTGAGGCTGAATTTGGCCGTTGCATCGGGCTTTGTCCCGGGCCTTGTGGGAGTGAATTGCCGATCCTCTTTAGTCCTCCCCTTTGCTTTTTATTGGATCTTATCAGCGGATCATTGTTATTCCAACTCCCGTCTTCCTTCCTCCCCATACCGGTGCTCGCTTCCACAGCTAGATTTAACCCCCCCCCCAAAGTTTCTCGACATGGAGACGAAGAGCGTACCAATACTCTTCCTCAAAACCCGCTCTCAGCCCCACGAGCAATACAATGAATACTTCACCTCCAACCCACTGGACGGCGCCGTCTTCGAGCCAGTCTTCATTCCGGTCCTCAGACATCACCACGTCAACCTAGACAATTTGAAAAGCCACCTCGTAACCAAATTCGACCCCGCAGACCCTAATTCATACGGAGGTCTAGTGGTCACGTCCCAGCGCACCGTCGAAGCCCTCTCCAGCATAATCCCCACCCTCCCACCGACAGCCCTCCAAAACCTATTCGCAAACACAAAGGTATGGGTTGTCGGCCCTACAACGGGCTCAGCGCTCATCGGACTAGGTTTTACAGCGTCGAACATCCTAGGCCAGGACTCTGGCAATGGGGAAGCTCTCGCAGGATTGATCCTAGAATCCTACGGATCCCGGCCGAAGCCGTTGTTGTTTCTCGCAGGAGAGACGAGAAGGGACATAATTCCCAACACACTTTCTACAGCTCCTGAAGAGAGGAATATCGTGGTGGAGACGTTGACGGTATACGAGACTATTGTGGACGAGGAGTTCGAGACCGAGTTTGAGAAGGCGATCGGGGAAACAGGAGATACGGCTACGTGGATCGTTCTGTTCTCCCCTGCGGGAGCGGATATAGCGGTTGATGTCTTGACGAAGCATTTCACTTCTCCCTCTAGTGCGCTATATCTGGCGGCTATCGGTCCCACGACAGAGAAGCACCTCGTCGACAAGTTATCTCGGAAACCGGACGTTGTCGCGGAAAAGCCAACCCCCCAATGGTTGTGGGAGGGGATCCGAGCATTTACCCAGCGGGATGGGGTCAAGAGGGGTGATGTAACGGTCAGTGATGATTAAGAAAAGATGCTATGCAATCCTATATATATGTGCTCGCGATCCCTCTCTGTAAACCAACCTAACGCCCCGAGCACGCATAAGGTGCATACACAACCAAACACACGCAAACAGTACTCAATGGGCCTCATACAAAACCTCAACAAGAAATCAGTCAAGCACAGCCCCCCCATCCCCATCCTAACCCCCTCCTAGCAAACCCACGGCCTCTCCCCTAGCTCCCGGATAGAAAACTCCACACGCGCAAGTCTAACATTGCCGTAAGCCCATTTACAGCGCTCCGCGCTCAACCCCGCCTTCGTCCTACACCACCCCCTCCCAAGTAAAAAGAGAAAACAGACCTATCCAAACTCCCTCTTCATGTACGACACTACAACCCGCGCATACAGACACTCGAGCAGGGCCGGCCAGCACTAGAAAGGATACCAGACCGGCCGACTACCCCCGTCCTTGGTAGCCTAGGAGGGGTAGGGAATAAGTGGGTATGATAGTACCGTACTGGCACGTGCGCCCGCCCCCGCCCGTGGCACTTCTGATATCGTGCTCGGGCAGTCATTTTTATTTTTTTTTACCGCTGCCGCTACCACCCATACCGACCGCAGCCAGACTAAATCAGATGGAGCAACGATAAAAATTTCCTGCGAGGGACCAAGTCCCTCAATATCCCTTCGATGCAAGCACTCGAGTACCTAATAATACATGCCCCTCTCTGGACAGGGCCCCTCACTCTCGGGTTAGCTTGGAAGAGGGGAGGTGCTTGGTTGGTGCAGACTCGGGCTGCTGTGCCGCGGTGGTATGGGTGGGTTGTAGGGTGATCATATATTGTCACTCGGTGGCATGATGGCATCTGAATGCGGTATGGCGAGGTATCGAACTTATTCGGGAGCTGCTGGTTTGGAGGTTTAACATCTGTGGGGTGCGGCTGATCATGCGATTAGGGTGTCTTTCCGGATTGATGTTGATGTGTGCTTCGGATGTTTAGTTGCTGCGGTAGGTGTATTGGTGAGGGTAAGATTCTAGGACTGTTCTTTCTCGCATGCTACATGTATGTAGGCAATGTCACGTATTGCTCGAAACCCCAGGTAGGCCTCCTAATAGGCCACTTCTCCAATACAAAGTTGGCGGTGCAAGGACAAATATGGGAGCATTTTGACATCGTGACATGCCTAAGCGTTCTGGACGTAACCCCCACAGTTCATGTCCGGAATGTCTGCAGACTGTATGCCCAAGACAGCGTTCTAATTTCTAGAGCGCGGTGCCCCAATTCTTACAATCCCCTCTTTCGGGAGCCCCGCAGCAAAGCTGCCCCAACCGACCCAGGATATCCAGAAAACCCCGCTACCAATATCTCTGCCGCAGTGACATATATGCCGTCTCTGCCCCCATGGTCCAAATCCTCCCTCACCAATGGCATCGGCCTGCCCCTGGAGGGCCACAGGCTACAAGGGATTCCTATAAGTAGAAGGTCATTATGTTAATGTTATCTCTCATATCCTCCAACAGCGCGATTGGCCACAGCGAGATGGCAGACTGTCTTGTGTGTGGCCGTTGGCCTACTTATTCGCGTTAACCTTCGGATGCGCTAGCAACATACCGGGCCGGCCATTCCGCTTGTAACATGGGCGATGACCTCAACTGTAGGGGCGTCTGGTCTGTAAAGTCGGTGGTGTTGACGCCCGCGTCCTTCCAAATGAGTAGGGATTCTATGTTGTTGTTGGGTTAGTTGTTCCGGACGGCGGTATTGAGTTATTCGGAGGGTCCAGTCGATCTCCAACATCTAATGATTGGTAGACCGGTTCCCTGGATGGGAGATGCGGAGGGTCCTCCCGGTACCGCATCAATGAATTGCGACTTCTAAGTCTACTTATGTTACTAGGCCTTGTAGTCAATACTCGGATACTACTGTACGAGTACAATAACTCAAATTTTTTGATTCGAAGCAAGAATACCTGAATAAATGAGAGGCTGGAGGTTACGAGATACCGGAATCATACCAGTATCCAATAGTGAAGTCTCAATTTTACAATTCGGGTTAGCGCTGAGTAACAGTGGTCAAAGCTGGCAACAAACCTGGGGAACTCTTTGCCAAGGATTGCTTGTGGGAGACGCCCCGACGGGATCTCTCTTTTCCCCTTTCCCTACTCGTGCCTGCCAGCTCAACATGACTTGACAGCTCAACATGACTTGTGGCTCAACACAATTTTTTGTGGCTCAACACAACTTTTTATGTGGCTTAATACAGTTTTTTGTGGCTTAACGCAACTGTTTTTATGGCTTAAAATTGTGACTCAATATTACTTTAAGGCTTAATATAACTTTAAAGTTTTGAGAAACTTTATAACTATATATAATCTTGTAGTCCTTAATAATTAAATACTGGTATATTGATATAATTTCAGAGCTTCATACAATATTGTAGTGTAAGAAAGCTAGATAGCTGGATATAGTCTTATAGCAGAATATTGCTTCAAAGTATAGTAGAATTCTGTAGCTGAATCAAACTTCATAGCTTCCAAGAACTTTGTTACTATAGAACTTGAATCAATCTTTGTGGCTTAAAATTCTAAATAAAACCTATTAAGCTACAAACAAAATACCAGTGATATTAAGTTCTAAAAAAAAGTTGTGTTGAGCCACAAAAAAGTAGTGTTGAGCCACAAGTCATGTTGAGCTGGCAGGCACTCTGGAGGAGTGCCCAGGTTGTGACGCTTAGTCACAACCTTGGCACGAGTACGTGTAATCCTTCTCACTCGTTCGCGAATTTCCTTGTCAGCGAGACGGTACTCGAGTACTCGAGTGAAAGAGCTGCCCGCTTGCTACTTCCCTCAAATATTCACCAGGACCACTTCCTGAAAAGGAAAAAGAAAAAAACTTGCCCCCGAATTCTCCCTGAAAGACGAGGCTTAATCATGGCATCCACCAAAAGGCAGCACCTCAACAATGTCCTCATCGTCGGTGGTTGCGGTTTCCTCGGTCAGCACGTCGTCACTTTGCTCAAAGAACACCACCCAGAATGTGAGATATCCGTGATGGACCTGCGCCTTTCCAACACCCTAGCTGGCGTCACATATCTTGAGGGCGACATCACCTCACGCGAGTCGGTTGATTCCGTCCTGAGTAAGGTGAAGCCTGAGGCGGTCATTGACACAGTCTCTCCTGTACACGGTCTGGGTCAGGCGGTCTACTACAAGGTCAATGTGGACGGCACGAAGGTTCTGCTGGAAGCATCAGGCGATGCTGGTGTGAAAGTTTTTGTCTTCACAAGTTCGGCGAGTGTGGTATTTGACGGTGCGAGTGACCTTATTAGCGTCAATGAGAGTGCACCAATTGCTTCCCCGGCAATGGACCCCTACACTGAAACTAAGGTGAGTTTAACACAAATGCTTCATTCACTGTGTTGATTATTTGCTGATTAAACGTATTATTTTAGGCAATTGGCGAAAGGATGGTGTTGGAAGCCAATCGCAAAGGAGGGATGTTTACGATCGCATTGAGACTTTCTGGACTTTTTGGGTTTGCCTAACACCGATTCCGAAGCCTGGAGCCGAAAATAAGCTAACCTGGTATTCATTGGGCACTAGACCGGGTGACCGTCAACTCATTCCTGGAATGTTGGGTGTGCTGGCCCGCGGCCAAACAAAGTTCCAGATCGGCAACAACGAGAACCTCTTCGATTTCACCTACATTGTCAACGCAGCCTGGGCGCACATCCTGGCTACCGAGAAGCTTATAGCGTTGTCCCTGGATACCCCCAAAACGCCAGAAACTCCTGACGGAGAGACTTATTTCATTACCAACGGAGAGCCGTGCTACTTCTGGGACTTTCCTCGAACAATCTGGGCTATTAGAGGCCATATTGCGCCATTCCATATCGTGATGCCTGCGGCTGTCGGTGTCGCTATGGGTGGTGCAGCAGAGCTTTTCGCCTGGCTTCTTAATAGAGAGCCGGGGCTTAGCAGGTTCAGGGTCAGATTTAGTTGCTGGAACAGATATTTCGACATTCGGAAGGCGAGACAAATGTTGGGGTACCAGCCACTTGTCAAATTATATGATGGGCTCGTGGAAACCCTCAAATGGTTTGATGAGCAAGAGAAGATGGAGACGGCAAAAAAGGGGCAGTAGATCAAGTGAGGGAGGGGACGGGACGGCAGTTTGATAGGTTCTTGAAGGCGTTTTTGCAAGTATCTTATACCTTTTAGTGGTGCTACATTAGCTAAAGCATAAATTTCTGCAAGTCATGGATAATAGAATTTGGTGATTTCTTTGTAACCGCGGTATGATACCGGTAAGTAACGACCCGTGCCCAAGCGATACCGTACAATTGATGTTCTACACTGTAGCCACTCGGACCCTGCTCCTAGTTTTTCGGCGCGTATGATATGGATATAGCTTGTGTGGAGCATAGTGGCGGATCGAAATATGAAGAGATGCATTATATCGGTATCTCACAAGATACGGTATCATGCCTAAATATTCTCAGCGGTGTCACGACTCATACAAGTGTGTCCTAGATATTCCAATGCTTGGACACTTGGTACCAGTGCACAACTCGGTTCGATATGGGTGACTTGTCGGAAAACCGCAGAGCTCACCAATGTAGAGTACGATGCGGTAATGCGATCCTATCCCGATCGAGAGGCCAACCAGCATCATTCAATCAAAGCGGCTCTGCTCCAAGCCCTTCCTGTTCCCGTGTCTCAACCAACCACCGCCACCGATTCGAGCTGCGCCAAGACTAAACCCCTCCTCCATTCCGATATTTTTTTCGGCCAAATACCGGTAAACCCTTGCCCTGTTAGACTCCAGGAATAGCGATCCCACCCCACTGTCAAACTCAACCACCAGTCGACTCATCCCCCCCTTCTCCCGCATCTTCTCTCCTCCCGCTCAAACCCCATTCAATTTTTACCCTTCACCCCCAGTTTTCCTGACACAATCTTCAAGCTCTGTTGGTCTTCCCCATTATTTTCCCATTTCTTGCTCTGAAGGTTAAAAATGGGTGACGAGGTTGCTACCGAGAAGGCGGAGGTTCCTAAGGTAGAAGTGGAGCAGGCGGAGCCCGTTGAGCAGAAGCCTGTCGAGGACGTCGTTGAGCCGGCTGTCGTGGATGGCGGACAGGTAGAGGTCGAATCTGCGGAGCAGCTAGAGACTCCTACGGCAAAGATGAGGCAGGAAGAGCCCGTCAAACAGGAGCCTGTCGGGAATGCTATTGAACAGAAGCCTGCTGAAGATGACATTGGGCCCGTTTCCGAGGAGGACAAACAAGCCAAGATAGAATCTGCCGAGCTAGAGGACACGAGCGCTACTGTCGAGGAAAAGAACAGCGTGGCGGCGGAGACCAAGGAACCATCAACGTTGCAGAAGAAGAAAAGAGAAAACATCAAATTCGACGCAACACTTCTCCCGGAATCCGACGACCCAGCGGAAGTCAGGAAGCAGGTACAACAGAAAAATCCCTTCTCCTATATGCCTTAATTGTCTGTCTCTTTTCTTGTTCCCACGCATGACTAACACAGTGATTGTGTTCAGGTCGAGTTTTACTTTTCGGACTCTAACCTCCCCTTTGATAAATTCCTCTTCGGCATCGTAGGCAAAGATAACCGCGCGGTCCCTCTTAAGCTTATCTGCTCCTTCAAACGCATGCGCCGCTTCACAAACCCGGATGTCATAATCGGTGCGCTGCGCGAGAGTGAGGCGCTAGTCATTGCCGGCGATGTTGGGGAGGAGACTGTTCGGCGGAAGACTCCACTGGTCATCAATGAGGTTGAAAGGAAGGAGGATAACGCAGAGAGCCAAGATTCCAAGGACAAGCCTAACCAGCGGGGGCACCAACCTGCCCCCCGTCAGGCCTGGGATGCGGACATTACCGGCGGTCGGAAATTCGAGGACCCGACCGTCCCGAGAAGTATTTATGCTGTATGACTCACTCCCCAATATTTTCAGCTTTTTTTCGTGCGGGTGCTTACTGCCCGCCATGAGGGAATAGAAAGGTTTCGGTGGCGAAACCCCTACCACCCAGATCGACCTCGAAAATTTCTTCGCGCCTTACGGACCCGTCGCGTCTGTGCGTCTCAGGCGAACAAGTACTGGTTTTTTCAAAGGTTCCATCTTCGTCGAGTTCAAGAGCGAAGAGCTTATGAAGGAGTTCATGGCCTTGGAAGAAAAACCAAAATGGAACAGCACTGACCTCCAATGGCTCACCAAGAAGGCCTACTGCGATGGGAAAATTCAAGACATCAAAGACGGGAAACTTCAGCCAAAGGCGTCACTGCCCCGCAAGTCCTTCGACAGCAAAAACGGACACCGTGGGAACAGCCAGCGTGGCAGAGGCAAGGGTGGGCGAGGCGGTGGAAGACACCACGGCAGCAACGGCAGAAGGGGAAATAGTGGGAAAGGTATAAACGACCGTGGCGGGCCGCCGAAGCTCAAGACTAGATCGGGAGGTAAAGACGGAATCCCGCAAGTGAAGACAAACGGGGACGCAGTTGAGGCCAAGGATAATAACAATAACAAGCGCAAAGCGGAGGACGGCGCTGAAGCGCACCCCGAGGTTAAGAAGGCCAAACAGGAGTATGACAATGGCCACAAAAAACAGGAGATGGATTGAACGAAACGAAACGTTCTTGTGCACCCTTTTTGTACCATAGCTAAAAGTTTACTAACGTCCACTCGGGATCGGTAATGGTGGCCTGGTGGGGGGCGAAGAAGCAAAGTAATGATGGATGATGGAGGCATGGATGATTTTTTTTCTTTTTCTTTTTCTCTTTTTTTCCTTCTTGTCCTTTCCTCTTATGTTTCAGTGTATCTTGATGGGCTCTTTCTCTTTTTCACGGCTATATTTTCTTGCTCACACAAAAGAAGCGTCATACGTCTCAGATCCTGATTACTTTACCGGTTATTACCAGAGGTTGTCGTAGGCCAGGGAATCTTTAGGTGTGATTCATAGCATGTCACTCGTGCCAAGGCTCCTTGTTGGACTCGCCAGGCGAGAGAGAGGATACAGTTCCGGTTGCCGGTGGCTGCTATGGAAGCGATTAGGATACCAGGACTTTGGGGACGGAGGAGGGGCACATGAGGGTGGGCCTGGTGGGCTCTGGCCCCCCCCGTGGAAGCTTGCTACCATACTGGAATCCAGCCCTTGCGCGATACCACACCCCTAGTAACTTACCTCCCATCCGCCTAGACACCGGTACAATACAGTACAGTACCTCCCTCCACACACCCATCCAGTAGTCTACGAACCAACAGACCAAACCCGCCCCCGCCGCTCGTGTTTTACGAGTAGACTTACCAGTATACCGGTATATCATAGCTTGTATCATATCACACCAAGCCCAAGAAGAAGAAATCAGGACGTACCGCACCCCATAGCGAAGGAAGGGTATCATACTCGCATCTATCACAAATCACCAACCCGAGCGATACCATACCACACCATAGTCTACCAGTACAAGTACTCGCAGACTACATCCGACCAGACCCACCACCGCAATTCCACTCGGTGTGGGAAAACCCCTTCGAATGGTTTGGTCCATACTGTACCGGTATCGTACCATAGCAAAAGTTGTGATATAATACGGTGGTATTGTATCGCCACCACTGTACGACACCATCAGGATTACAGGACGAAAAAAAAACGAGATCCTTGGATACTGTATTTATTTATTTATTTATTTATTTATTTTAAAAAGGAACTTTCAACGGTACTCCATGCTCCGAAGGTATACTCTCTGCTGTATGATATTATGATATGTGCTATTGCTCGAGTTCGTAGCGTACCGTACTGTACTAGTTAGTACATTCGCACCTCGTTATCATAACGAACACCAATACAACAGTTCAGGATTTGTTCCTTCGTTAATAGAGAAAGGTTCTGGGCGGAACCCCCTTATGAAAATCACACCGTATAGTGAGATCTGTCACAACAAGCACCTCATCCCTCGTGCGATCATTATTCATCTACATCGATGCTAGTCTTGCTGGTGCATTCTTTACCCGCACTGTACTGTACAATATCAAACTATGCTCCTACGATAAATTACAAAACACCGATAACTTTAAAGTTAAGGTGAACAACCGCATCGTATCATATGCAACGCAATCCCTAACCCAATCTTACCCAGCCATGATATCAGAAATTTTCCGCGCACAGAAAAAGTTAACTTATAACATGCACATACGTACGGTAGGTTATTGCCCCTTCCTGTGTGCACGCCTTACGATCAAGAGACTACGAGTACGGCATCATACTCGTACAAAGTTGATGCACACTCAATTCCTCTAGACCAATAGAATGCAGCATCCACGGAACCCGATCCTGGTAAAAAAAAAAAAAAAAAAAAGGGAAAAAAAGGGCAAAAATAACAGAGTTGCTGAAACGTTACTACGAATAAGTGCGGTATCATGTCCAACGCCGCAGAAATGCTCTAGTTGGTACTTTTCTCTAGTGGGCGGGAGGAAAAAAGGAAAGAAAGAAACATGCGTAGTAAAGAGTACGGTATGTACCGTAGACAACACATCCATTTCGTCTATCCATTGATGAATGATGGTGGGAGATGGGAGTTGGTAGTGGAAGGAAAGGTGTGAAAAAAAAAAACAAGATAAAATAAAATACTCGTAAAGGGATTCCCCGCACTTCTTCGAGTGGATAGTGTTAAAATTCCCCCTCCAAAAAATCTTTAAACGGGAAGCTGAACCATTGAATACATCGCAACAGCACGGCACACCATCATCACCATCATCTACGAGTAAAGCCCATTAAATACCCTCCTCACCCTCCAATTCCTCGTCCCCATCTACGCAAACGCTGGCAACCCCTCCCTCCTCAAAATCCCCCACCAAGCGCCCACCCCAGCGCCCAACACCAGCCCGCCAACAAACGTGCCGGCGCCCTTGGGGTGCTTGACGTGCTTCTTGTGGCCCCACCAAAACGTGCTCATGTGGATGAGCGTGTAGATGCCCACCCCGCGCACCACCATGGCGCGCATCTCGCTGCTGGAGGAGAACAGGCCCTCCAGGCAGAGGTAAGATACTAGGGCTTCGCCTGAGCCCAGGAGTTGGGTCAGGACCGTGGAGGTGGGTGAGGGTTTGCCGCCGAGTTTCACAATTGAGGTCGTGGGTGAGGTCAGATAGAAGTAGGCCGTCGAGAGGGAGATTAATGCATTGCTGCCGAGGTAGATGTTTAGGGGGGAAGCTTCTATTCGTTTCGTCAGCTGGAAGGAGGGGGAGGAGTGGAGAATGGAAGGGGGGGAAAGGTACCTGGGAGGGGCATTGTGATGACAATTTCTCAGTGCTTCTCTCTCTCTCTC